GATTTGGGTTTGTGTGTGACATATGTGAGGGGGAAAATTTTGTGAGTAATTTTAGACTATTGGATCAAAATTTTTAAACAAATCTGAACCATTCTTGCTCTTTCTCAACTTAAAGATTCAAATTGAGTTTTATTTTATTAGTATAGATCAGTCCCATTACAATATTGAAAAACACGTTTCATAGTACCATGCATGACACTCATTTATGTATAAAAAAAATTATTTGAACTTAATTTACTAACCTTATTTGATGAGTTAATGCATCATAATTATTGAATTAATAGAAGGTCTTTCACTAATAATGACACTCAAAACAAATTAAATCCAAATAACATTAATCTTTACGTATTCTGGCAAATCATGTGAAAGGAGCATCTGGCAGCAGATATGGATCAATTTATGACTATTTATCTGTCTTGAAGATTGCAAAAAGATAGATAATTTCGTGCTCTAGCAGCATAAAATTAAATTTGTGTGGGTAATAATTAATTTATGATATATTAGAGGAGACGTCATAGAGTTGAGTAGGATTAATTTTTGTGAATTTTAAATACTTATGAAGGAGCGATTTTTTCTTTTCAATAGTAATTCACATGTCTTTTTTTTTTTTTTGGGCTCAGATTCAATTTGCCGATAATGCGATAACAAATAGATTTAACCGAAAAAACATAAAATGAATAATATTTTTTACAATTACTATGAAATAATCTCTAAAGCTAATTTCTAGTCCTAAACGCTTTGCTTGTTCATAAGTGTGCACGAAGACGGAATTAGAATTCTCTAAAACTTAAAATTAGTGGTATTAATGGAAAGAGAAACCACCATTCAAGTAATAGTTTTTTCTTTTAAACACTAGTAATAGTTGAAAAGTGAAGCTTTGAAATGCTCTTCTTGAATCATAACTACTATCCGTTTATGATTATGCTCTCTGGCAATTTGAAGATATAAAAACCAAGACACCATGTCGTTATTAAGCTTTGGTTGTGGTTAGGTGTAATGGAATATAAATTAAACTAAGGAATAATAAAATAGGGTATCTTATCAACATGAACAAACCCTCTCTTGAAAAGGAAGTTACAGAGAAAAAAAATCAGATCTTTAAAGATGTTGAACTACCAACTGCTTGGAATCCAAAGAAAGAAACTATTTATAAATCTTGTGTGTCGAGACAATGAAATAAATAAAATGTAAAATAAAGGTTTTGCCAAAATAAGTCTCTCTCTCTTTCTCTCCCTCCTCCACACAAATGCACACCCAGATAAATTTATCCAGACAATTATAAAGTCTATAAGTGAGTTATCGTGGGATTACTATATGTTGGAACACCATAAAATTTCACCTCCTAGCGCCATTCTATATATAGTTGAAACTTGAATCCTCTGAAGTTAAGTCGAATTTTAAAGAATAAATTTCAACCCAAGAAAATTGTATGATAAGACTTGTGTGGTGGAAATATGGCTACATCACTCACCCAATCTTTGAGACCAAATTTTGTACTATAAGATTGAAAAATCACAATTTTAGTCCAATAATCATCCCACTCACATACAAAGAGATTTATGTAAAGAATTATGGAGTAAATAACAGAGGTATGGAGGGCCCAATTCTTATTTAACCAACGCATACACGATTTTTGTCTGAATACCTGAAGTTAAGTTGACTTTTAAATGGTAAAATNATGGAGGGCCCAATTCTTATTTAACCAACGCATACACGATTTTTGTCTGAATACCTGAAGTTAAGTTGACTTTTAAATGGTAAAATTTTGCTCAACACTATCCTTTGATACGATTTGAACGACTAGATCATCATCAACATAAGCACTTAATCTGCATCTTGTGTATGGAGGCGACGCGGTAGATCAAGGAATACAAAGAGTACTATGATTATTTATGTGTCGAACCAATATGAAAGCTCTGAATCCACATAGAGAATAGAGAAAAACTCTTGAATATGATTATTCAATGAATAATCCGTAGTACAAATGAGCAATGAAAGTAGGAACGACCAAAACCCAAATCGTTCTTATAACTAAAACAAAATCCCTAACATTACGAAAATTATTAAATAAAAATGTGATATCCTATTAATATAAAAACATGTGTCATATGGAATCTAATAAAACTAAAGACGCTGAATTCGAAATTTTCTATGATTTATTATTAAATTTTGAAATTTTTCATAAAATTGAAAAAACAGAGTCATAAAGGCATAAACAATGAATTTAGCTCAAAATAGAAGGAGCTCATACCGAAGCGATGAGTATTAATCATTGAACTGATTTCAATCTAACACCACTAGTCCCATTGAACTTCGAGTCTGGCCTCTTTTACCTTTACAATTATTATATTTTTGGCCTTTCATTGTGTTTTGAAGGCACGACAGTCAACCTATTTCAAGTACTCTACTTCAACTGTTCTACATTAGGAGGATTGGAAAACTATAGTTATATATATATATCTCTCTCTCTTTCCTTCTCCCTTAGCTAAACAGTTGTAAGGCCAATAAGTGAATTGTCGTGGGAACACTACATGTTTGAACAATATACAAATACATATGCCAGTGACCTTGTATGTACAGTTGGAGCTCGAACCCTCTGAATTCAAGTCAAATTTTAAAGGCTGAATTTCGGAAAAACATAATTGTATGATAAGAATTGTATGGCTGAAATTCGGCTGCATTAATAATGCAAACTACGATGTTGTATTTTGTACTAAGAAGATTTGAACAACACAATTTAAGTTAAATTCCTCTTCCTTTCTCTCTCTTTCTCTTTTTCTTTCTCTTTCCTTTACTTTCTCTCTCACATACACAGAGAGATTTATCTAAAAAATTATAAATCAGATAAGGGAGTTTTTGTGGCACCAATGCGTATTTAACCAACACATAATTGCTTTTGCCACTAGCCTTGTATGTATGGTTAGAGTCCAAATCTGTGAAATTACGCTGAATTTTAGATTGTAAAATTCTCCTAACACACTATCATAAGATAAGAATTGAGCAATCAGGATTTGATCAAATCATCAACACAAATGCTGAATTTGAATTCTATGCAAGGAATATTGGAAAATTTTAGTTTTATCTAAATAATTATCTTCTCTCTCTCGCTCCCCCCTTAACTAAACAAGTATAAAGCCAACAAATTTTCATTTGTGCAACCTTGTATAACCATTTAAAGCTCAAATCCTCTAAAGCTAGAGTGCGGGGTGAATTTGGCACTATAAGTCACCCCCTCGTACGAATAGAGAGGATGGTGAAAAAGTCTTGAGTAACTTGCAAGACAGGAGACACCTAAGTGAACTGATGGCCGGAGGCGGCTAAAGGGACTCTGATGTTTAAATCAGAAGCGAGTCAAAGTAGTATGTAGTGAATAAGTTAGAATTGAATGCCTTATCTAGTGCCCAAAGACTTTTATTTATAGTGGTAGAAAGCTATGTGCCAAACGTACTTGAACTTTAGGTTGTGATAGGATTGAGCTCATCACCAACTCCTAAAAATTCGGGGTAGAGTTAGACTAGGACTCTTGCTCCTAGGTCCTTATCATTTGCTCCTGCTAGTGCTTCGAAGTAGTATTTAAGTAGGATTTTAGGTCCTAGGGTGAACCTTAGCTGAGTAGGACTCATCTACAAAAGATGGGCAAGAGAGAGTTCATAGTAGTTTAAGTGGAAGTGACCGAGTTTATTTAATTTTAATTTTATGATCTGTACTAAACATGCATATTATCCTCATTTTAACATTTTATAATTAGATTGCATCGAAGGGTAAGGTACATACATTTCCCCGGTTAGGTGTGATTTAATTTTTAATCAATAAATCTCCTTCGTACCGTCGAGGTTCACCAAAAAAAATAAAAAAGATTGCCGAGCGGCGTGGGATCTCCTCATGCCTCACAATTGGCCCCGTTCCTGACTTAACCGCCTTCTATTAATTGATATATGTTTTTGAAGAGTAAGTGTATTTCGGGCCCAACTCATTGATAACGGGCTTCTGTTGCCCAGAAGACTAGGGCTAGGGCTTCAATTGCCTAAATTACTTTGACTTTAATTTCCCTTTTACCTTCTTTTATTCTTCATGTAGTACCCATTTTGGATTTTTTTATGACGAAACATTTTGAAGTTGAATAAATTTCATAAATTTTGGAATATCAAATTTTATTAATGATACTATTACTCTCGTATTTTTGCATTAATATTTTGTTTTAATGTTATGCTAACTTCCGTTAGATGTTGATTCAATACAGTTAGTTTAAATTTTTATAAGGAAATTCTTTTCGTAAAGATATTCTAGGAAATGGGATTGGTTGCAGATAATATTGCTTTTTTTTTTTTTTATGTTAAAATTATTTTTCCACAAAATTTCTGTTTCTTCTATTCGCGAGGTTTTATTTTTGTGGCAAAGGCATTTATATTTTTATAATAAATATTACCTTTTTCATTTTTGGTGACAAATCGGTTTTTAAATTGTTTTCTTTTCTTGAGAGATCATGAAGGGCATTGGTGACCGTTGTTCAGATCTTACCAAAGAANTTTTTTTTTTTTTTATGTTAAAATTATTTTTCCACAAAATTTCTGTTTCTTCTATTTGCGAGGTTTTATTTTTGTGGCAAAGGCATTTATATTTTTATAATAAATATTACCTTTTTCATTTTTGGTGACAAATCGGTTTTTAAATTGTTTTCTTTTCTTGAGAGATCATGAAGGGCATTGGTGACCGTTGTTCAGATCTTACCAAAGAATTTTAGAGCACCCAAGAGAGAGAGAGAGAGAGAGAGAGAGAGAGAGAGAGAAGATTTACATAAAAGCATAGAAATATACATAAAGCACCCCGAAAACATAAGATATTCTTTTACACAATCTTCAGCAAGCACATCTGTTCTTGACAGATACATCTTATTCGTAGGAGAAAATAGCAACCTTAACACTTCCACACATTCTTATATCACACAAGAACTTGGTATATATTACCAATAACCCATATATATATATATCATCTTTAGTCGATTACTTGAGATGGTGAGCTTCAATATCTTTGGTGAGACTGACAAACATGTTCATCAAAGTATTTGGGTCTTCCACACTCTCATTTAGCTTCTCATACTCGGTAGTCCACGTCACCAAGTTACTTTCTCCCTTTGTATCAACATGAACAGTTATAATGAAGGTGTTGTACAGTTTCATGAGATCTCCTTCAATCATTTTGAATGTCACTGACTTCTTTTCTTCATCAATGGCTTGGATGATCTGTTTGGCAACCTTCTTTTTCCCGTCTATGGCATCACACCAATTCAGTCCATAGAAAAATAGTGTTATAACCTTAGCATATTATAATAGTGAAACATAATAATAATTAAAATGGTTAAATATATTGTGTGCTGGGAGCTTTATACCCGTTTTTTCTTTTCTTGACCAAATAAATCATGAAGGTTTAGGCAAATTTGTAGGATAATTTGTTGAGCCAAAAGAATAAAATCTAAGGTGCTAAGAAAAAGAACACATTTTTGTTCTCTATACTGNGGTTTAGGCAAATTTGTAGGATAATTTGTTGAGCCAAAAGAATAAAATCTAAGGTGCAAAGAAAAATAACACATTTTTGTTCTCTATACTTGAATTTTTTTTTCCTTAAATGGACAATTGTACAATCAAATGTCGTTTGGACTTGTGGTTAAAACGTAAACTCTAAATGTACACAATCATCTGTAAATTATGCTACACAAAATTCTAGATTTTCTTTTGAGAATTAAATTTGTAATTCGAGATAGTTATCATTGCATTCTTTTTCCGTGTGAATTTTTTTGGCTTTTGTCTACAATGCGATAGATCAAATTAATTANGTCGTTTGGACTTGTGGTTAAAACGTAAACTCTAAATGTACACAATCATCTGTAAATCATGCTACACAAAAAATTATAGATTTTCTTTTGAGAATTAAATTTGTAATTCGAGATAGTTATCATTGCATTCTTTTTTCGTGTGAATTTTTTGGCTTTTGTCTACAATGCGATAGATCAAATTAATTACACAAAAGATTTAATAATTTATATTTTGCTCTCTCAAAGATTAGATTCTTTGTATTACATCTTCAATGTATTGAAAGTATTACAATGTGACTCTACTATTAGCTTCCGTTGCTCACTCTGACAACGTCAATGGGGTGATTTTCAAAGGAATGAACAAAGGAAGCTAATGATGGGGCTACATTGTAACACTTTCAATATATTGATAGTGCAATAATGTGAGATTTTTACTCTTTAAAGGTACACAATAAAAATTCTTAAATCTTTTTGACTGCAAAGTGCGATTTCCACAAAATTGAAAGAAAATGAAGAAATATGCAAGTTTAAGGCTTGAAAACATGAATACAGATATAAAATATGGATACAACACGATATATATATGACAATATGACTAAATTTTAGAAAGCATGATATAAATTTTGCTATAATAAGTCTACATATGTGTGTATCTATAAATATACATATGATTTTATTACAATACTAGGGATATGAGGGATTAAGAGACAAATTACGTATCAAACTAAATTTTTTTTTGACATATAGACTGCTTAATGGTCCTTTAAATCCAATATTCTATGTAATTCTAAAGGTGAACACGTGTCACCATTCGAGAGTGGTCCACCTTAACATAGTATTTAATTGCTATAGTCTTTATTGGCTTTGACATAAAGTCATAAAAACTCATCATTCAGGCCAAATAAATTGTGAAGTATTGACAAATCTTCTGATATATGTGACACATGTTCAAATGAACATCTTAGAACCAAAAGTCTCCATTTGTATGATTTTGGTATTTTAAACAGCCCACTTCACTAAGTATAAGGGGATTGTATCCACCATGGAGATACGCATATCCGAGTTATATCCGATGAGTATTCAATAGCAACAAATATTTTATTAATTATTTGATACATGTAAAAAAGATTTAATATATACCCACGAGTATTCGACAGGTATCTACGGATAGGTCACCCCGATCGCACTATCTATGCTTCATAGTTTAACACAGTAAAACATTGTTTATATATCCAAAAAGTGAGGTGTCTTACCATGAGTATACCTCCAGCGGATGACAGAGCCCACAGTTCCAAATTCACCTTCAATTAGATCACAACCCTGAACTATAGGGCTCATATTAAATACATGGTGTGGTCTGTACCTAAAGATCTCATGGAACACATCTCCATCAGACTTGATCTCAGTCTCGGAAACCAACTTTCCCATTTCTAAACCCAACAATTTTCAAACGACAATGCAGAAACAGAAATTTAATGGAGGCAGGTGGTGGTAGCACATGCTTGGCCCCTATGGTGTTTATATAGTTGAGCTGCGACTGTGAGTGGGTCACATATTGTGCGTCGTGATATACGTGCCACAAGGATTAAGCCTCTTATTTTTCTCACATTATTATATAAACAATGAAATAAAACTTGTCACATTTTGAATAGGTAAAAAATGAAAGATTAATGTTATTTTGACCTAAAAATTAATTATAATTTACTGACTTAATGACGTGGTTGCATTATAATTGTTAGATTAACATCAAATTCTAATGTTTGATAAGACCCAANAATAGGTAAAAAATGAAAGATTAATGTTATTTTGACCTAAAAATTAATTATAATTTATTGACTTAATGATGTGGTTGCATTATAACTGTTAGATTAACATCAAATTCTAATGTTTGATAAGACCCATAATTAATTTGAGGGCTACCGTGAATTTATGCGAACAATTTAAGTCAATACTATTAATGATAAAAGCCAAAACATATACTATTTTACCCTAAGTTTTGTTCTAAATAACGTCAAATAATTTGAACAACTTTATAAATGACGTAATGTTGAATTGAAGAGTTTTCCAAAACGTCGGGATCTACTTTTGCCGTCATTTTTCAGACTCTTCGCAGCATTTTTTTTTCGGAAAGTAAAATGTTTTGCATGGGGTGAGAAAAATAGAAAGGTGCATAGACAATGACAAAACAATAGGAATAACCTAGTAACAGCCAAAAAAAAAAAAAAAAAAAAGGAAAGTAAAGGTGGAATTCAAATGGAAGTAAAGTCACTGACCACTTCCAGACAAACTCCACCCATGGAACAAAACCAAAGAGATCCTATGGAACAAGGGATTATAAGAGACAACTATGTGAAAGTCTTCATTTCTGAATAGTTTGGAGATTGCTACTAGAGGTCTTGAATTTGAGAGAAGCCAGCCTACTCCGCACAGTCCACAGAAAAAGATGGGTAACCGAATTTGAGTCCAAGGAATGGTTACTGAATCTTCTATTATTTCTCTCCGTCCACGAGTGATAAACAGTGGCTACTCTAAACACATTTTTAGGACCCTATTTTCTTATTAAATTTTGGGTGTTAATATTAGCCGTTAAATTAACTTTAAAGTAAATTTTAAAGCGATCTGAATCACGAAAAACAAAAATCATTTTGTTTATCTTTTGAAATTTGAATTGTAAACTACTTTATTATATATATGTTGTGTTGGACGTATCATATGTTGGAATCAAACATCAGATAGAAAGAAAACCTATATGCTTAAGTTTTTAAGTGGGTTTAACTTCCAGACATATATATTCCATTAGATTTTATCACTAGGCTCACTATTCTCTTGACACCATCCTGGGTAGCATTTCCACTTCAGGTAATCGTGACTGGCTGTTACCATTGGCGGAGTGACATTAGGGCCAGGGGGAGCCGAGGCCTACCCTCAAATTTTGGAATTTAATTTTTTTTTTTCCGTCATTGTCGGGAAATCCCATAAAATACTTTGTGGCTGACCTCCATGGCCTCTATGCTTTCAACTTTATCTTTTTAATTCTAGCAGTAGCAGATGATTGAGATAGGACACCCACCATAGCACTCATGTCGGTATTGATATCGTATGAATTGACTAATAATGAGATTCACTGTTAATCCAATAACAAAGACTGATTACGTTAACAAATTAAATTCAAATAACATTACTCTTTATGTATTTTGATACCNCAGATGATTGAGATAGGACACCCACCATAGCACTCATGTCGGTATTGATATCGTATGAATTGACTAATAATGAGATTCACTGTTAATCCAATAACAAAGATTGATTACGTTAACAAATTAAATTTAAATAACATTACTCTTTATGTATTTTGATACACCATATGAAAGGAGCATCTGCCAGCAGATATGGGTAATAATTAATTTATGATATATGAGAGGAGACGTGATAGAGTCGAGTAGGATTAACTTTTATTAATTTTAAAAAATATTAAATATTGATCAATGAGCGATATTTTCTTTTCAAAAGTAATTCATGTTCTTAACATGTCTTTGACTTGCCAATAATGCGATAACAAACAGATTTAGCTGGGAAAACATGAAATGTGTATTTTTTGTTATAATTTCTATCAAACAATCTCTATAGCTCATTTCTGGTCGAAAGAGAAACCATCGTTCAAGTAATAGTTTTTTTTTAACACAAGTAATAGTTGAAAAGTGAAGTTTTGAAATGCTCTTCTTGATTACGCAAAATAAAAAAGCTCTTCCTGAATCATAACTACGATCCGATCATGCAACGTCCCAAAACTTATCTTGGACAGTATTACAATCTATAAATCATTCACATCATTAGAGCAACAAAATAATTTCATCATTAAAGAAATTTCATCCATCAAATATCACATTTACAATATTATCCCAAAAGAATAGGCCAACTATGTCCATTACATCCCAAAAGAATGTGATCGACTATGATAAATACATCCCAAAAAAATCACATTTAAATTTACAGCGGAATAACAAAAGATTAGTCTAGACTTCACAATATTTCCAGAATGAATTTCCTATTGTAGAATAAAAATAATGTTGCTCTAAGTGTCCACCTCAGGATTCACGTTCCCTTCTATAGGAGTCTCCCAGTGTGCCGGTTCATCCACTCCCAACTCCTGCTCTGGGACATAATTTGAAAAATATTATTTGTAGGGGGTGAACACTAAACTCTGTAGCAACATTTCTCCCATATTTGAACAAGGTTTAGAAAAACATATAAAAACGGTCGGTCACCTTTCACAAATAGAATATATGAATTTTGAAATAAAACAGGGACAATTAAACAGATCTCAAGTTTAAGTAACAACTGTAATTTAATGTATAAGTGAAACCAATATACAACTAATAATCCATTCCACCATAAATTGTTTCTCTCAAGTCCTTGCGGAATCTCATACTTCCCAAGATTCTTATAAAAACTATTTCTGGTACAATGAACAATAACCCACCACTGTAATATAAGACCAATAATCCATTCCACCATAAACCATTTCTCCCAAGTTCTTACGGAATCTCATACTTTCCAAGATTCTTGTAAAAATTATTTTTGGTACAATGAACAATAACCCACCACTGTATTCATATCTCAGGTATAAAGTAAGATCTAGCATGGTCACCATCGAAAACACTATGTCCCACATATCCACAAACACAAATTCTTGCAAGAATATCCAACTTTTGGGAAAGACGTGTGCCAACACCATGGCAGTGATGAATCTAACCCAGGCATTAGTATATTAATCCTCTGACACGGCACCCGTGAGCTAATAGTGGTTTGATTCTCGCAAGATACCAATTCTACTACGAGTGATAGGATATGTTCAAACCCGCACGGAGTAAGGAGACGTCTACCCACTCCATGATACCCGGTCAATCGTATCCCATGTTTATCCAAACAACCACACAAGAGATACAATACCAATAATTCCATCAATAACAAACACTTTTCAAAGCCCCCAATTCCATGGGTATTTTTAAGAGCACAAGTAATTTCAACAATCCCCAAATTTTCACATGTATCATTTCAATAGAACATTGAAAAAAATTCAAGAGATCATCATCAATATCATTTTATTACTCAACACAAAACACTAAGATTTTGAAATCAAGAACCAAGGAAGAATCAAAAGGAAAATCCATCACTCTTGAAAACTAGGGTTTTAAATCAAGAAAAAGAGATTTCATAGGTATTCAACCCTAACTTTGTTTAAAACATGATAATAATTGCAAGAAGACCAAGAAACAAAAAATCCATAGCAAATACATAAGATTATGAGTCAAAACATACTTATATATTAGCTCTAGCATCAATAGACAAGAATGAAAGAAAACCCCCTACTTTGTAATCAAGAATTTCAAATCAAAAGCCCAAGTTTTGAAGACCTTCTTCCTCCCTTTTCTTTCTCTCTTTATCTTCTCCTAGGGTTCTAAGACGTGTGGGGTGAGAGTGGAATGAAAGAATGGGACAAATGGGGCTTAGAATAGTGTTTTAAAACATAAAAATCCTGATTTTTTTTACTGTTTGGCAAGCTTAAAATAAAGCGAACCGGTACGCATTATCGATACTATTTAGCCTCTGGAGTTGGGCATACTGGTACGCATGTACCGGTACGGTTTGACTGACAGATTTTTGCTCCAACTTCCAGTACGGTTTTGGCCCATTTAGAGGTCGAATTGGAAAATTTTTGTGAAACACACTTTTGTAGCCCTAGAAGTCTACTATCCACTGTCAACATTTCAGATCAAATGAACTTCAGAATAAAAAGTTATGATCAAAATAATAGACAGTGTCCAAAATTCTTTTTACCCAAATTCTCTCTAAAGTGTGCTTTAGCTCCGAAATACTTCCTCACTTCTAATATATCCCATATTACTTCTCCCAAGGTTTCTCGACCTTCCAGATTGAATAGAAATCTTATTTTGACCTAAAAATGTTTTGAACTTATCTAACAACCTCTTCCAAGCTTAAATATCTTCGCAACTTAAACTTTACAATCAATTTGCTTCCTAATAGTTATTTCTACCGTTATAATTTATATGGTTCATTCTTATTTAATTTTAATACAGGGTCTTACAGATCATGATGATGCTCTTTGGCTACTTGAAAATATAAAAAGAAAGATACCACGTCGTTATTAACTTTTTGGGTAAGTTATTAACCTTTTGGTTGTGGTTAGGTGTAATGTAATCTAAATTAATCTAAGGAATAATAAAATAGGGTATCTTATCAATATGAACAAATCCTCTTGAAAAGGAAGTTAAAGATATTAAAGGAGAAAAAATATCATATCTTTAAAGATATTGCAACTGGCGACTGCTGGGAATCCAAAGAAAGAAACAATTTAGAAATCTTATGTATCGAGACAATGAAACAAATAAAATGTAAGATAAAGAAAT